ATGTATATATTTTTACATGTATATTTCTATGTATATTTATTTCTATGTATTTATAATATATATGTATATATTATTCCATTATATAATTGACAAGTTACATCTTCATGATCCACTCATCTGACATGGGGTATTTAGGCTGTTTACATAACTTGTTCTTTTTAGTGGTAAATAATATTGTATTGTCTGGATTACCAACCACAGTTTATTTCCACATTCACTTCCTTAAGAATATATAGCTTACTTCAAAATTTTGGCAGTTAAGAATAAAATTTACTGTAAGTGTGTGTCAGCTTTTTGTGGACATAATTTTTCATTCTTTATTTTTTAATTCTTTTGGGTAAATATCAAAAAACATAATTGCTGGATGATGTGAGAAAGTTCAGTTATGTAAGAAATCACCAAATTATTTTCCAAAGTGAATATACCCTTTTGCTTTCCCACCTTCAATTAATAAGAGTTCCTGTTCTTCCTCACCTTCATGAAATTTGGTGGTATTAAATTTCTGGATTTTGCCCATCGTAATCTATACGTAACAGTATATCTTTGTTGTTTACACTTGCAATTTCCTAATGCATATAATATTGAGAATCCTTTCATATACTTTCTTGTCGACTTACACAATTTTGTTGGTGAGGTGTCTTTTCAGGACTTTGACTCATTTCTTAATCAGCTTGCTCAGCTTTTTGTTAGTTTTATAATTATATTATTGAATTTTAAGAGTTCTTTATCTATTTTGGATAGAACAGTCCTGTATCAGATATGCCACTTACAAATATTTTCTTGCTACGTGACTTAGGTTTTCACCATATATAATTCAGAAGTATGAGATCACACCCTTCGGATGTAATTATTACAATACACCCACCATAAAGGCACACCCAGTTTTACGCAAAATTTCAGTGGATACCCCCACCTTTTGCGCTACATATTTCTCTTTCCTTCCTGGCAGCCTCAACCTGCAGGTTTATTTCTAGGATTATTGGCTTATTATTTCTGACCTTTTGCTTTGTTTGTATTCTACAAATAAATGAAACCATTGGATTTTGTTTTCTTCTTTCTAACTTACGTTACCTAACATTATCCCTTCCAGTTCCACCCATGTTATTGCAAATGGCAAACATTCATTTATTTTTTTTATAGCTGAGTAGTATTCATTTGTGTATATATACCACATCTTCTTAACCCATTCCTGTTTGTGGACTCCTAGGTTGTTTCCATAACTTGGATAATGCAAGTAGTCCTTGTTTTATAACTCTATTCAGATGTTAGTTCTCTGGATTAGATTATGAGGTCATGCATGTATGTTTAAGACTCACTGTTATATTATGACTAAGGAGCCAAATTGCCTGGGTTTGAATCCTGGCTTTGTCATGTATCAATTTAATGACATTTGGCAAATTACATAATCCCTTCAAGACTCAGTTTTCTTGTCTAAGAAATGAGTAAGGTGATAGTACTAGTTTATAGGGAATTTTATGATATATGCTAAATAAGTTATACCTTTCATAAGATGTCAAGAAATGAATAGCAATGAAAATAAACTCATTGTAGAATCATATAAGCTTTCAACTAGCACACATATACCCATGCAATGTGTTGCACATACACACACACACACACACACACACAAAGAATTACTAAATAAAAGATGTTTGGAAAACCTTATTAAATGCCCAAGCTATTCTAGGGCAATTCTCACTGACTCAGATACATACTCATAAGTCCAACATACTGTTCAATGGCTCATGGGATAAGTAAAGAAAATTTGGAGACTGTGAATGAATTTAATTTTCACTGAGAAACTACATTATTCGACTGAACCCCTGACTGCAGCTAATGGAATCAGACTGTGATGAAAGACTTAGAAGTGTCCTGAAACTCAATGAAACTCAGCGAGGGCAAAGGTCAATCTCAGCTAACAACCACCTCATTCCATCACTTTTAGTGTATGTGGAGAAATGCCTTCTTTGTGAGGATATCCATTTATCTGACTGCCGAATTTTGAAATTTTTAATACATATTTATATTTCTTTGGATCATTATAGAATGGAAAAGGAGATGAGAATATCCAGTTAACACAAAGGAATAATGCTAATATGAATAATCAAATTCTGTTTTTCAGTAGAATTCTCAAATTAAGAAAATTATGGACCCATATAATCATAACATTATTGTCTCTCAGTTCCACCATTATATTCTTAAAAAATGCCATCGGGGCCACTCCCTGGTGCCACAACGGGTTAAAGAGCAGCACCCTGAAGTTTTCTTTCAGCGTGAGTTGGATTCCCAGACAGGAAGGTTTCCCTCATGGTGTGGCAGACATCTCCGGGCCCACTCGCTGTTCCCCTCAGCAGTGTATTTGTCAGTCTGTCTGTTCTGCTTCCTGCTCTGCCTCTGGTGAATCCTCTCACCCCCTGCATCTCTGGTCTGTACCCCAGTTCTGTATGTATAAATAAATACATCTTTTAAAAAATGCAATCAGGAAGGCAAATTTTATTGCTCTGCTCTAATATAACCGGTCAAGAAAGAAAACCAAATTATCTTCTAAAACTCTATCATAAGTTTAACTCACTCAATTTAGGAGTGCAGGAATTGGGGGTTCTTGCTCCACATTTTCAATTGGTGCATCAGTTTCCACTTATGTGAGTTATTATAAAATTAGCATGCATCCTATAAGACACATAAGTACTTGTATAGCTCTTTGCACTTGTGAACTATTTCAAAGTCCTATTATTAATTTACTCTAAATTTATATAAGCTACATTCCAATTATCTTGTACTAAGCCACAATCAACTTTTATTTCTGAATTTCAGAAAACTCAACAGTTCCATAGTATGTTAACTCATTTATTTCTTCTTGAATACAGTGACTCTGTCTTTGACCCTAGATTTAACTATTTGTCCATCACTACCTTTGACTAATAGAGAAGAATTTGATATTCAGTTCATTTCTTTTTCTTTGCAAAGCTAAGGACTAGCAGCCTACACAATTGAGAATCTAAAAATCGTAATTTCAGCAAATGTGTTGACAAAGCAGCACATGTGAATTAAGATTGTTCTCAAGTAGCAATTTGCTCCCATACATCTAAAGAGATAAAATATCCCATTTTGTCCCCAAATCATAAAATCATCATATAATTAGGAATTCCAGGTTTTATATAGGTGGAGCTGGGGGGGGGGATTATGCTAAGCAAAATAAATCAGAAGAAGAAAAACAAATAGTGGATGCTATCACTGATGTGTGGAATTTAGAGAAACAAAGCAAAGGGTTGTACAAAAACAAATTGAAAGAAAAAAATCCTAGAACTCTGTAGAGTTGAGACTAGCAGGAGACAGAGAGGGTGAGAACAAAGGTGGAGGTGTTTAATGGACTATGGTCATGGACGTTGCTGTGCTTTGATGATGTCTGGGTGTGATTACAGACACCTGAGGAGATGTACTGAATCATAGACTAAAGAATACCAGGTTTTGGTAGAAAAGATGGTGTTTTCCAATATATATTAGTAGCTGGTTTAGAACTTTTTTTCTCTCTCTCTTTTTTTTTTTTTTATGATTTTATTTATTCATACAGAGCTGGGGTGCAGGCCAGAGATGCAGAGGGTGAGAGGATTCACCAGAGACAGAGCAGGGAGCAGAGCAGGCAGATCGAGAGAGTACACTGTTGAGGGGAGCAGGGGGCGCGTCAGGAGAGGTCTGCCTTGCCATGTGGATCTCCTCCAGGGCAGGCGGGAATCGAACTCATGTGGAAGTGGCTTAAGCTTCTTAGTGCTGTGCTTTAACCCACTGCGCCACCAGGGAGGGCCCAGAAATTTTTCTCTCTTAACTAAAAACCACTTGTGGGTTATAACTTGAATTTTTATTTGACTTACAAGACTAATACTAGAATGCCAATTTTGCTTAGGTTAGAACTGAAAATAGTGTATCAAAAAGAGAAACCACATTCTTCATAAAGATGTACTTTGGAGAACTACAAGAAACACTCAGAACAAGTTACCAATGAAAAGAGTAAATTTGGTCATTAGATCTTCATTCATATTAGAGATTTTTTGGAAAAGCTTCTGGCACTATGCTAAATACACTGAAGATATGAGCACACAAAACAATCCCCTCCTTCGAGAAGTTTCTAAAAGCAAGGGAGGGAGTCTGGCCCAGGAGTGGTGACACCATAGGATAAAAACATCATGGACCCTCCCTGGTGGCACAGTGGGTTAAAGCATACACAATGAAGCTTTCCAAAGCCACTGAAGCATGAGTTCGATCCCTGGTCAGGAAGCTGACCCACATGGCGCGGCAGACCTCTCCTGACCCGCCTGCTGCTCCCTTCAGCAATGTACTTCCTCCATCTGCCTATTCTGCTCTCTACTCTGTCTCTGGTGAATCTTCTCACTGCCCCTGCACCTCTGGAAACAGGAGACCAAAAACAAACAGACAAACCAAAATACTGAAAAGAAACACAGAAGAGAAGCCTCAGAAAAAGTAAAAACAATTTTAATGAAGAAAATGTACGCCCTTCTAAAATCAAACACATTTAATACTTTGAATGCTTTGTATAATACAGCAAAGATCATTCTTGTTCTTTCAAATATCTTTTCTGAGTCTCAATCATGATTACAGATTATGTGAAATAAAGTATATTAATATGACACAACTACACAATCCTCTGTATAAAACACACTTGTAAGACTTTACAAGGCACACTGTTTATACAAGTTGACATGGGTTATGTGAAGCGTTCTCAGTCATCAGGTAAGTTATTCCTGCTACCCAGGGGAGGCATTCTGTTGACATTTTACTTTTGTGTCCTTTAAAAAGTGAATTACTATGCAGGCACTGATGTATGGAAAATACATTTTGTGTTTTCATAGTCTATGTTGGAATTACCTTTTGGATTACATGTATATTTACGTTAACAAGCTTGACAAATACTGAACAGTCTCTTCAGCATGGAAAAACCTCTTCACCATCAACTCCAATGGATATAACAAACTATCTGCAGCAATATTACCTTACTTCTTACACTAATTCCTCAGAAATCCTTTGGTTGTCAGGTACCAGAATTAGGAGGATAAGTACCCCCCTAAGTACAGGTGGCCCAGTTCTCCATGATATTCACAGTTGAGAATTATACTTTATGCATTTTTATCTTTCAATGATAATCAGTTAGGAGTAAATTCTTTTGTTAAAAATGTTTACAAAATGCAAATCACTCCTGTATGACTTTGGACGAATAGACTTCACAGAGGGGCTCAAAGCTCCACATCTTGAATGCTGGTTTTTCATGCTGGACACCTGACAGACTCAAACGATGCCTGCTACTCAATCAGGATTTACCTATCTTTTGACAGTCTTAGCCAGCCAGGAGGGCCTAATTTAGTCTCAGACGTAGTCCTTCGAACGTTAGTAGCAATATTTAAAGAAACTTCATTCCAATAAATACAATATAAAAGCCTTTATATTATATGCATAAGATTACAAAAGCACTTCATGGATGTCTGGCCCCAACTACTGCCAGAAGATTCCACAGCCCATACATTTTGTCCCAAATGTAATCAGGACAGCTACTACAAAAGCAGTTAAAAAGCAAGACATGAAAATGTTGGTCTCTATCAAATGATTTCAGCCCCATTCCTTAGGAAATAGGTAAAGTATGTTGCAGGTGATGCTTGCTTTTGAGCAGATATCATCTGAGACCACACACTAGGAGCAGTTTCAAATTTTCTCATCATCATTGTTGATTTTTTTAAATGCGACTGGGCTTGCTTGCTTCAGAGAAGTCTTCGAAATGTCTGTGTGCATGGTAGACATGGCTATGGTCTCATAGTCATCATCCCGAGATCGGAAATCACAAAAGTTAAAGAAGAACTGCAAGTCTCTCTGGAAATTTTTATTGAGGAATCCATAAAAGATGGGATTGACACAGGTGGAGATCATTGCTGTGAGATGACAGAGCAGAAACAACAGGTTGTGGTTGCAGGTGGCGATGATCTGATGGTTCCAGTCAAACACAGTGTTGAAGATGGTGAGAGGCAGCCAGCAGACTGCAAATGCCACCACGATGGACAGCAGCATGATGTTGATTCTTTTGGTCTCGCTGGACCTGTACTTATTGTCTCTCATTTTGTCCATCATGTTATTTCTTCTTTTCAAGCGTATATAGATCTATAAGGAAAAACAAACACAACAAAAGACGCTCAAATAGAACCATTCACTTAGTGAGGAAGTAGAAAGAAGGTAAAACTTAAAAAAAAAAAAAAATGGAGTGAGGGGGTTTTTCTTACCTTGAAGTAGCAAATAAATATAAAGCAGAGTGGGCCAAAATACTGCAGCACCAGGAGGAGAGTGGTGTAAGACAACCTGTGTGAATCTGACGGAAATTTATCAAAACACACATATTTGTCCTTGAAGGCGTCGAGGGTTACATTTTGGAAGGGCTCATCAGTCAATATCTGATAGATCAGGAAGGGCAGAGAAGAGGCCACAGCAAGGACCCAAATGACAGCGATGCCTATGTACGCGTGTCTGTTACTCGGTCTCCATCCTCGAGGGTTGATTATCAGCTGGTGTCGTTCCACAGCAATGAGAACCAGAGAGAAGATGGACACTGTGATTGAAACACATTGCACAAAAGGGTTCAACTTGCACATTGCCTCACCAAAAACCCAGTGGTCCATCAGCGTGTAGACAAAGGTGAAGGGCAGACACATGATGGCAACGAGCAGGTCTGAGAAGGAAAGGTTCACAATGAGGATATTGGTGACGTTTCTCATCTCCTTTTGTTTCAAGATGATAATGATCAAGGCCAGGTTTCCAGAGACCCCGAGAATGATCACTGCTCCATAAGCAAGAGCTAATGTAAATATCATGGCCAAGGGCAGATGACAATCATCATTTTCAAAAGCAAAAAATGGGGAATTCTTCCCTGAAAAATTATAGTAGATTGAATGATTTTCAACCTGGGAAAATAATGTTGAATTCATTTTGATTCGATTGTTAGAAATTACTTTAGGCAAATGGACAGTATGTTTCTTGAAAGCAGTTCAAATGGTCAGTTTATTCTTATTCCCCATATTGGAATCCATTTGTCAAAATTATTCTGAATTCTTCATTCCCTTCAACTGAATAATCTGTAAAGAGAAAATGATCAATTGCATTACTAATTTTATTTAGAACAGTCAAAATGAATTCTGACTCATAGTACTGTTTAAAAAGAAGATAATCAAATAAATAATTTGTAATCTGGACAAACATGTTTTCAAAATAGAACAGTGCAAACATTTTGGGGAGAAATCTCATATTTTTCACTGAACTTGGTTACACTTTGAGTTTCAATAAAACCCACTGATCTGTAAATTAGTAAGGTGTGTGTAAATCTCACACCTGAAGTCTTATCTGAAGTGTAGTTTCAGCCCATTCCTAAATACTGTAATGTTCTGCTAAGGTATCACAAGAAAAAAAACACAGCCTAAAACATAAAATAAAGACACAATGTAAAACAAAAAAATTCTAGTTCTTCCTTTCTTTTTTTTTTAAAAGATTTATTTATTTATTCATACAGAACTGGGGTACAAGCCAGAGGTGCAGGGGTGGTGAGAGGTTTCACCAGAGACAGAATGGGGAGTGAAACAGACAGATCGACAAAGTCCACCGCTGAGGGGAGCAGCAGACAGGTCAGGGGAGATCTGCCGCACCATGTAGGTCACCTCCTTGGTGGGTATGGAACCGAAGTGACTGCTCCTCACTTGCAGTGTGCATTCTAACTCGTTGTGCCACCAGGAAAGGCCCTAGCTCTTCTTTTTTTAACAGAAATGAAATAATCTGTGTCAAAGTCAAGATGTAGTCATAGTTCTACCACAACTGCTCTGGAAGCAAGCATTAGTTAGTTAAGAATCTTCAAAAGGTGATGGTCAAAATAGTGACATCAAAACTTTGTCATGTGAAGGACTGTTGAAGGAACAGAAGATGCTTGATCCAGAAAAAAAAAAAAAAAACCTGTAGGAATGACAGAGGTGTCATTTCATATTTGAACTAATACTAGTGATATAGGGAACTGAGCTTAGAATATATCTTAACTATATCCGAAGTGGGACCAAGGAAGTATATTACCAAAAAATAAGTAAAAACAAAAATTTTCTATCATTATGAAGAATAAAGTTGAATCAAATAGGATGAACTGACTGCCAAACTAGCAAGTGTTTCTTTCATACACATAGAAGTTTCTAACTACTATATGAAAGGCTTTGGGGAATTCCTGTGCTATGTAGCACAATTAACTGGATAATAGACACTTTCTATGATTCTCTGATTTTTATTTACATATCAGAAGCTTTCAAAGGGCAGCTAAGATTTTACCCATATAAATGTTCTCCTTCCTTTTTAAACTATATATAGATATAAGGTAGGGCTCTAAATTTATGTTGTAATTTTGACCCTTAACAGCATTTTGTAATATACTTGTTTCTTTCCAAGACAAATAACAGTATTTAGAGTAGATGCTCTTTTCAAAAAACATCCTGATACCCCTACATTACTAAATAAATGCATGAGGTGGGATTTCTTATGGTAATCAAAAGTTCATGATGCCTGTGTTTAGAAAGGGAATTGCATTTTCTTTCTTTTTACAAGAACAATGAAGAAAATCATGTATATTTACTTCCATTGAAAAGGATATAAGAAATTTAATGAACAAAAATGTATTTGCCTTTTTTTTTTCCTAAAGATTTATTTACTTTTGCATACAGAACTGGGATACAGGCCAGAGGTGCAGGGGCGGTGAGAGGATTCACCAGAGACAGAATGAGGAGCAGAACAGGCAGATCGACAAAGTACACTGCTGAGGGGAGCAGCAGGAGAGACAGAAGAGATTTGCTGTGCCATGTGGGTCACCTCCGGGGCCAGCGGCTGCAACCAGCTTGCAGTGCTGCGTCCTAACCCATTGAGCCACCAGGGTGGGCCCTGTATTTGCCTTTTAAACTGCCATCTCTAGTGAAACTTGCTTTGATCATGTTTTTGCATTTTATAATATGGGTCTGTTTTATTGTAATATCATTCCTTGGCTTTATAAAACAAGAATAAAACCAAAGGTTACGAGCATTACATGAGAATGAAAGTATAGGAGTGGTGTTGTGGTAATTTCAGATGTAAACATTCTTAGAAATATTAGAGTATTAACAACATGTTACTAAAACACACAACAACATATAAGTAACTCCTACACTCATTATATGTGGTAATACTTTTCTTCTTAAACACACCAAAGGCAGAAAGAATGTTCTGTGTCTCTTAGTGTTTGAGACTAAATCATGAAGAAGCAGGTAAGAATGCAAGAATTCTTTGGAAACTTCTCACGAAAGAATTCAAGAAAAAATTATACCTTATTTCATATTCAAGTTGCAATCAACACTAATAACATGACCTATCAATTAATTGTGAGCTTTACTTCATGACTGAAAGTAAATCGAGCACATTAGGAAAGCACATCCTCTTTAGCCCATCATTCCCTGTCACCATATCCCTCCAGGCGAAGGAACAGCTGTCCCAATAGAAGACTGAGCATGGTCATGTGTACGGAACACATACACGAATAGAGTAAAGACTGAGTCTGCTCCACTGTCTGCTCTGAAAACCCTCCAATTCTGCCTCCCTCTCATTTGTACTCCACATTGTGACTCCTCTGCTTCAGGTAGACAGTTTCATCACAGTCCACCAAGTGTACTCTGGCCTATTTACTTTCTAAATCTTCCTTACCCCACCCCAACACTGCCCCATTCTTACTGGTTATCTCTTCATAAACCCAAATGGCTCCCATCTTTCAAAGCACCATTTATTGGCTTCTCTCAATTACAAAATAACTCCAAAGAAGGCACAGTGTATACAGTACTTCATAGTGGCTAGTGAATGAATATTAGATCTGGAATAAAAATGTGGCTGGTGGCACAGTTGAAATAGTTGGTTCTTGTGCATATTGATCTTAACATCACTAGCTGAATTCTACCCAGCATCCTTCAACCTGCAAGATGAATGCTAATTCCAATAGTCATTTTACTAGGTGATTATTCCACTTTGTGTGAAAGAAAAAAAGGAGTAGTTTTTGAAGGAAAATCCATTCATCCAACAAATATTTATTCAACACTTATTTTGTGTCAAGCATGGATTTAGTGGACACAGACTGTGATCTCTGCTTTGAGTTTCTATTCTTATGGGTTGAGAAAGACAAGAAAAATAAATTAGTAAAAGGCACACTGTGCCGGGTGGTAATCAGTACCATGGAAAGAAATAAAGCTTGGAAGGGGAACTGGAACTGCTGGGAGTTTCAATTCATTACTGGATGGAAGGGAAGGCCTCTTCTGCTTGAGAAGATGGCATGAGTGAAGACCTGGGAGTAGTCAGAGAGGAAGCCTGGCAGTTATCTCTGGATTACACACCATGTAGAAAGAACAAATCCAAAATGCTTAAGGCTGACGTGGACCTGCTGTGCTAAACAGCAGTGAGAAGTGGAATAAGTAGGGGATAGACTAGAAGAAAATTAATTGGCACGGATAAAGAGAACAGACTGTGTAGGGCCTTATTCCATGGGCCACACTGATTTGTACTCACAGACTGATGAGGAGCCAATGGAGAACTTTGGAAATGAGAATGAAGCTACATGACTTTTGTGTTAATTATTACTCCTGTTGATGTTTGCAAAAGATTTAAGAGAAGTAGGGAGGTTCATCTAGAGACAAGTAATAATCCAGGTGGGAGATAATGCAGGCATAGATAAAGGACTTTGTAGAGGAAAGAAAATAGAACATTTACATTTAATGACTTACTTTGACATAATTCAATATGTATGTGGGCTTATTAAGTCATTGCGATACATGAATGGATGACAAAGACAGCTTTCTTGCAGAAAAATTTTGGAAGATATACTTAAATTCTACTCTGATACTTCTGAAATTCTATTTAACAGACATGCCCATGAGGAATAGCAGTTTTCTTACCAAGAACTTAACTTTAGCTATATAGAAAACGCAAACTTTATTTTCTTTTTGAGTGTTTGCAATTCTCCTTTTCTAAGTGCACATTTGGCAATCATTCCAGTTGGGTAAAACAGTTCTGCACTGGATAAATTGTGTATTTTCAGCTCACCATGCTATAATTTCAAGAAAAATATAGTGAGAAAGTAACAATATTTAGAATGTACACATATTATCTTTGTAGACAATAATTTGATATTTGCTATTCTAACATACATTTCTAAAATAAGCAATGCAACTACAGACACTAACAAAATTAAAGGTTGTTAAATCTCAATATAGCTGTCATGTGTGTTTAGAGACAAAATAGAGACACTACAAAAGTGGCATTTGGCAAAGTAGACCCCTTCCAATGAGAAATTTCTTCTTCTTTCCAACTAGTTAGAATGCTGGCCTTCACTACTCACAGGTCTTAGTGCTGAAAATGCAGCTTTCAGGTCATAACCAGCTGCAGAGAAATTCTTTCATATACTCAGAATTGGCTGTCACCTCACTAGTTTTGGAAAAGAAATGTCAGCCTTGTAAGGTACATCTTTCCAAAGTTGCTGCTAGTGTATGTACTTGAGTTACATAATTATCTGCTGGGAGGATTTGTTCAATAGACAGCTGTCGTTTAAAACAAGGACAAGGGCAGACTAATATTGTACCTGCCACCCACTGGAAAGTACTGTCTTCAGTCTTGGGTGGGGAATGGGGCCAAGAGCTTTCTGCTCCCTGGCTTCACCAAGGATGCAGCCTTTCCTTGGTATTGCACCTACTATTTCTTCAGTTCAGTCCAGGTAGAGAAGGGCTAGTTGTGTGCTTCTTGCGAGCTAGCAAGTTAGGCTTCCTCCTAGGATCCAAGGCAGCTTAAGAGCCCTGAACACCCCTCCCCACCAAAACAGTAATGTCAAAACACATTCCTTCGCTCCCACCTCCTCTGGGTTTATCCTGTGCTCCAGGAGTTAGCAAAGAACCCAACTGCATGTGTTAAAGCAAAATTACTGTTGGCACTCTTACACACCCACCTTTTTCCTATTGTGTAACTAGGTGAATTGCCCTAAATTTTCTCATCCCAATCCCCACAACCCACCCCCACAGCCTTATCCACTCAACTGATAATGAGAGACTGGCCTAAGGGAAAGCAAACAAGCATACCCAAACTCAGTCAATTCTCTCCCCCTACCCTGTATTATCAGACCTTCAAACCTTGAGTGCTCTCCAATCTACTTGAGGACCTTCGGAACACTTTTATGAGACATCCCCCCGCCCCTCC